GTGTTTCCAGAATTTTGTCCAACCCCTGTATATCCTGGAGTCTCCCTGTCCACTTCAGAAAGACTTTCACAGCTATTTTTGTTACACAGATCTTACCATAATCCCCAGAACTTTTTTAAAATTTGGTTGGGCAGCACAGTGGCTAAATGGTTAACACTTCCACCTGGCAGTGTTTGGAAGTTGATTGAGGTTCTGTATTCACCATTTGAACAATTCACTGCAATTTTTGATAATTTTTTCTCTTTTGTCCATGTCCAGGTAGATTACCTATAGTGCCATGGGCTGGAAACTTCTTGACAGTGTTGAGCAGAGTGGGCACAGGAACATTAAGATCTCTGGAGATGAACTTGTAACCTTGAGATTATCCAAGCTTTACCACAATTTTTGTTCTCAGATCCACAGACAATCCTTTGCTGCTCTCTCTCTTCTCCATGCAGCACACAGAGACACACAAAGGTTGAATCACTTTTCCACCATTTTAACTGGTTGCTGTTGTGATTTATATATTGTCGGCACCTGTTAATTGATACAGGTGAGTTTAGTTACAAATTACAGGAGCATCACAAACTTGGAATGCAATTATTTCTTACAATTCTGAGAAGGTGCCAATAACTTTGTTCAGTCCATTTTTGTGGTTTTGCATGGAATGTTATTGTAACTCCCTCCTCGCCGGCCTACCCCAACACAGGCTATCCCCGCTTCAGTCTATCCTGAATTCTGCGGCCAGACTCATCCACCTTACCAACCGCTCCATATCCGCCACCCCTCCTCTGGCAATCCCTTCACTCGCTTCCGATTGCCCAATGCATAAAATTCAAAATACTAACATTGACATACAAAGCTGTTCATATCACTGCCCAAAACTACATCAGTGACCTGATATCCATCTACCACCCAAAATGCACTCTCCGCCCCTCACAAGACCTCCTACTCTCCTGCTCCCTGGTCTCTTCCTCCCATGCCCGTCTCCAGGACTTCTCCAGGGCATCCCCCATCCTCTGGAACTCACTACCCCAATCCATCAGACTGTCACCTACCCTCCTCACCTTTAGGCGCACCCTGAAAACCCATCTCTTCAGAGAAGCCTACCCCGCCCTCACCTAACTGCTGATCTCCTCCGCTCTCCCACCACTCCATCCCCCACAGCTATTTCCTCCTGTACCATCTCCCCTCCCTCCTAGACTGTAAGTTCCAAGGAACTTTTGTCTTAGAATATATCAAATCTTAATCAGGGAGTTCTGACTGGTACATAAACATCCAAAGATGCCCTATTTTAAACACGTTTATTCCTTGACAGTAGCACTACTCATCCTCTGGACTCCCGGAGCTCAAGGTAGGGGTTACATATAGTACTATATTAAATTATGTGTATCACCACCCTTGATTTTCGTGGGTCTTATGTCTTCAGAGATATGAGCGTTAAAGGGTGCCAAAGTCCCACCCACCATGTTGGAGGAACCGTCCATGAAAATCCAAAAGAGCATTTGTTGCAGAGCATGTTTGAGACTTGTAGCAACTAGGGAAATGTTCACAGTGTAGGGAATGCCTATAGCAATGGTGATGTCACGGTGTAAGGTCAGGTTCAGAGACCAGTTGCTATAACAGTAAAAGGCTTACCTGGAACCAGCAGGATAGGTACACCAGCGGATCCCCCTGGGAATGACGCAGGCTCACCTGAGGTGCGGGATCTAAGTATTAACCGGTATTCACCAGAGCTCCTAATGGTGGAGATGGATTGGGCTGCGTGTTAATACCAGGTCGCAGATCTCAGGATCACCCCACCAGGGAATGAGCAGACTGGGAACCAAGAGCGGATCAACAGGTTAGGGATCAGACGAAAGCAGAGTCGGTCACAAGCCAAGGGTCGGTCACAAATGGTAGCAGATCAATCGTAGTACGTTAGGATGAGACGAAATTGTGGTCAGGAACAAGCCAATGATCAGTAGCGGAGGTGTAGACAGCAGCAGGAACAGTAGCGGGATATTGGCTGGAAAGGCACAATAATCTGGCATGGAGGAAGTCCAAGGACATGGCTTATATAGGAAGTTCATGGGAGGAGCAAGGAGTTCAAGGTTCAAGAGCAAACAAGGCACAAGGCTTTATCCAATAGATGAGGCAAAGTGTTGTCCAGCATCCTACGTAGCTCAGTGAGAAGAGTTACTGCCTGACACAGTAGAAGTCCCAGGTTCAAGTGCAGGCCCTGACAGGTGAATTTGGAAATGTAGATTTTAAGGTCTGGGTGTAAAAACAGTGCAATAATGGTAGCTGTTTGCTATGAACAGCAAAACTAGGGAAGGTTACTGAGAGAGTGTTATACAGAGCTTAGACCTACGGAGCCTTCTGAAAGCAAAAAAAAAAAAAGGCCATCTATGGCAAGCTTAACCACCTCAATACTGGAAACTTTTACTCCCTTCCTGGCCAGGCCAATCTTCAGCTTTCAGTTCTGTCACACTTTGAATGACAGTTGTGGTCATGCAACACTGTACCCATATACATTTTTAGCTTTTTTTTTTTTACAGAGCTTTATTTTTGTTTTATTTATTTAATCGCTACTAGTTTTATTATTTAAAAATAAATACATTTAAAAAAGGCAAAAAAATGTGTTGTGAAAAAAAGTGTTTTTCTTAGTTTTTGTTGTAAAATTTAGCAAATAAATAATCTTTCTTCATAGTTTTAGGCCATAATTTAATCTGCTATATTTCTTTGGTAAAATATCCCAAATCAATTGTGTGTGAAAGTTATAGAGTCTTCAAATTAAGAGTACAAATACTACCAAAATGACCCATTTTTGGAAAGTAGACACCCCAAGGCAGGGGCGGACTGACAACTCATGGGGCCCACGGGCAATAGAGGATCATGGGGCCCTGTGTCCTCGCCCACAATCAAACCACATCCAAAAAAGCCTATGAAAAGGTACCAGGGGCATCTCATGGGGCCCCATACTGACCCCGGGCCCTCGGGCAGTGCCTGAGTTCCCAAATGGTCAGTCCGCCCCTGCCCCAAGGGTTTTAGTAAGAGGCATGGTGAACTGTGTAAGCTGTTTTTCCCACAATGCTTTGGAAACTTAAAGCAAAAATTTTCTTTTTCACAAAATTATTTTATTATTATTATTTTTCACGCATGGCATAGGCATCGTTGTAGTTACACCCCTAAATACTTTCTGCTACTCTCCCAAATAAGGGGATACTACATGTATGATATTTTTTACAGCCTAGCCACATGGAGGGGCCCAAAATCCTAGAACCACCTTTGGGCTTTCAGGGAGCACAAACTAATCTAATTTCCTGACTACCTAACACAGTTTTGAAGACCCTGGAGCACCAGGACAATTGAAACACCTTAAAATCATCAAATCCTCAATTTGAACGTATAGCCTGTTGTCCTCTCACAGAGCTTATACAGTTTGACCCCATATCTGGCACGCTTGCTGGGGATGTACTGTTTGAATGCAAGGCAGCCAGTAAAGTGAATGAGGGACTCATTTCAAATTTCTCAGGTGGTTTATGAGGGACCAAATTTTGTAGAGCCTGTCATGTTCAGGGTCACCCCGCCGAGGATGACAGTGTGTTATCACTGAAACGCATTATTGTTTCATATCTATGCCTGGTCATGGCAGCAGAGAACACGGGAATATGATGAATCGGGTCTGTGGACCAATATGACCGCAACTCATTCTTTTTTGTAATGCCCATGTTGAGCCCTGGTTCACACTGATGCAGTGCGGAATTTGCAGCGTTTTCAGTGTGAATTCTGCATCGCATCCCGTTCACACTGACCGATGCGGGTGTGCATGTTAACGACACCCCCACATCGGTTCGCAAAACACGGTGTGATGTGTAGAATCCGTTTGCATAGGTGTGAATACCTATGCGATCCGATTCTAGTGCAGACCAAAAAAGGGTCCAGCACCTTTTTGGTGTCGGTGCGGTGTGAATAGAGCCATACACGCACTCCCAGCAGAAATGGGTACGCAAATATGCGGCCCCACGGAAAACCGCCCAGTTCTGTGAGGCTGCATATTTGTGTGACGTCGGCGTCCAGGGGTTAACCATCGTAGTCCACATGCCCCCAATGTGGGGAGGTGCCTTGCTGATGGGGACCAGGGCCTATTCCCCGCAAACCTGGGTGGTTATGGGGGTCTGTGGGCGGGAGGGGCTTATCAGAATCTGGAAGCCCCCTGTAACAAGGGGGCCCCAAGTTACATTGTACACCTAATCATTCACCAACGGAAATTTAAAACCAAATAAAAAAAAAGCGTCCCCGGATTAGGGGCGGACTGACAACTCATGGGGCCCCTGGGCAATAGGGAATCATGGGGCCCCTGTGTCCTCGCCAACACTCAAACCACATCCAAAAAAGCCTATGAAAGGTACCAGGGACATCTCAAGGGGCCCCCTTCTGACCCCGGGCCCTCGGGCAGTTCCCGTGTTCCCAAATGGTCAGTCCGCCCCTGAAGCAGATCCAATGGCAATTACTATGAATGCCTCCGACTCGGAATAAAAAAAACGTTATAAACCAGCCGCTAGCCCCCGCCACCTGACAGCGTCCTGCGAAACAAACTAAGGGGCGGGACCATCTGGTGGCGTCACCAAGTGACCCCACCTCCTGGTGACATTAGTGACTGGGGAGGAGTCACCCGGTGATGTCAGTTTATTTAGCGGCAGAGGATAGCGACTGGTTTAGATTTTTTTTTTCTCTGGTCGGTGGCGTTTATGACGTGTGAAAAAATACACAAAGGGCCGCGGCAGTGAGGGGGTTAAACAGAGGAGGCGATCATTATTTGAACAGTTCCACCAATCGGGAAACTTCTGCGGGAAGACTAGCCTGATGTTCTGACACCGCACTAACTACGCATGTGTGAAGAGCTTTACTAGCGGCGGGAACGCGCACAGGAGCGGGCACGCAGGCCGGGGCAGCTTGTATGCCGTCATTGATGAGACGCCGGAACCGTAGGAAGGTTCTCATCCCGGGCGGAAGGATTTAGAGGGCGGACCGCGGAGATGGGCTTCGAGTGGCCGTGGCAGTACAACTTCCCCCCCTTCTACACGTGAGGAGCTGTCATGTCATTGGTGGGGAGGGTGATAGGAAGGGTACCCCGGCCCCCTGTGATTGGGGGGTGTCTGAGGTGCCCGGTGTAGGGCGGAGTTTTCCTTCCTGTGTGATTCTCGTTCCAGGTGTGACTCGGTGAAGGGAGGCTGTGCAGCTGGAGCAGGGGATGGTGAACACTTCTCAGGGTGGTGTGTCTCCTGGGGGGTATTTCCCGTCACTTCCTGTGCCAGAGACACAACAGGAAACGAGGGGTGGGACATACGTGGGGGGGAGGGGGGCAAGGCACCTAGAAGAAAGTGGCTTGGAAGGTAAAGAGGTGGGTGGTGGAAACGTGGCTAGGTGGGAAGAGTTGTGATTTGGAAGGTAGAGGTGTAAAGGGGTTGGTGAAGGCGTGGCTTGCAAGGTAAAGGGGTATGTCATAGTGTGGCTAGATAGGAAGGGGTGTAGTGGGGTAGGAAGAGGTGTGGCTTGGTAGGTGGAGGCGTGGTGGTGTAGGAAGAGGTGTGGCTTGGTAGGTGGAGGCGTGGCAGGGTAGGAAGAGGTGTGGCGGGGTAGGTGGAGGTGTGGCTTGGTAGGTGGAGGTGTGGCGGGTAGGAAGAGGTGTGGCTTGGTAGGTGGAGGCGTGGTGGGGTAGGAAGAAGTGTGGCTTGGTAGGTGGAGCCATAAAGAGGTAGGTGGAAGTATGGTGGGTTAGGAAGAAATGTGGCTTGGTGGAAGTATGGCTTGGAAAGTAGAGGTGTAAAGAGGTAGGAGGAGGCGTGGTGGGTAGGTAGAGGTGTACAGGGGTTGGTGGAGGTGTTGCTTGGAAGGTAGAGGCGTAAAGGGGTATGTGGAAGCGTGGCTAGATAGGAAGAAGTGTGGCTTGGTAGGTAGAGGTGTAAAGGAGTAGGTGGAGGTATGACTTGGTAGGTATTGGTGCACAGGGGTTGGTGGAGGTGTGGCTTGGTAGGTGGAGGCGTGGAAGGGTAGGAAGAGTTGTGGTTTAGAAGTTAGAGGCGCAAATGGGTAGATGGAAGTATGGCTTGGTAGGAAGTGGCGTGGCGGGTTAGGAAGAAGTATGGCTTGGTGGGTAGGTGCAAGCATGGCTTGGAAGGTAGAGGTGTAAGGTAGGTGCAGGCATGGTGAGTTGGTGGAAGATTGGCTTGGAAGGTAGGGACGTAAAGGGGTATGTGGAAGCATGGCTAAGTAGGAAGAAGTGTGCCTTGGTAGGTGGAGGTGTGGCGGTTTAGGAAGAGTTGTGGTTGGAAGGTAGAGGTGTAAATGGGTAGGTGGAAGCATGGCTTGGTAGAAAGTGGTGTGGCAGATTAGGAAGAAGTGTGGGTAGGTGGAAGCATGGCTTGGAAGGTAGAAGCGTAAAGAGGTAGGTGGAGGTACTGTGGCATTGGTGGAGGTGTGGCTTGGTAGGTGGAAAGAGTGACTTGGAAGGTAGAGGCATAAAGGAGTATGTGGAGGCTTGGCTTGGTTGGTGGAGGTGTGGCTTAGAAGGTAGAGGCGTGGCTTGGAAGGTAGAGGTGTATAGGGGTAGGAAGAAGTGTGGCTTGGTAGGAAAAGGGGTTGGTGGAAGAGTGGTTTGGTAGGTGGAGTGTGGTACTTGACTCCATGCACTGGCTGCTTCCACGGCTTCCAGACATAGTGCTGATATGCCTCGCTGCCCCCTTCAGGACTGGTGGTATCCTTTTTTGCAACACTACAAAATGACAAACGACGCCTCAGCCCAGCACATTGCCGTCAAACAGTTTTATTAATAAGTGAAACAGTGACATACTCACAAGCACATGTGATAATCAGACTGCCTCTAGATCCACACTGCTTCCCAGGTCACATGACTCTTAGCATCCTATATGGCCTATGCGTTTCCAGAGACAAACCCTCTTTCTAAGAGCCAAAAGGATGACCGAAGAATTCTCTATATAATACACTTAATGAGCCACCAAGTGTGGCAGGGTAAATGGAAGCCACACTTGGTAGGTAGATGTGTGGCAGAGTAGATGTAAATTTGACTTGGTAGGTAGAAGTGTGGTGAAGTAGATGGAAGCGTAGTAGGAAGAGTGTAGTGGTAGATGGAGGTATGGCAGGTGGAGTGGATGGCCATGCAGTCATGATAGGTGAAAGCGTGACATGGTAAGTGGTGGCTGGGAGCTTTGTATGGAATTGTGCTGTGGTGAACAGGTGGAGGTGTGTGGCTGGAAATGTTGAGTGGTAGGCATGGCGTGGTGGCTGGAAATGTTGCGTGGTAGGCATGGTGTGATCTGGAGGTGTGGTGGCTGGAAGTGTTGCATGGTAGGCATGGCGTGGTGGGCAGGTTGAGGTGTGGTGGCTGGAAATGTTGCATTGTAGGCATGGTGTGATATGGAGGTGTGGCTGGAAATGTTGCATGGTGTGTTGGGCAGGTTGAGGTGTGGTGGCTGGAAATGTTGCATGGTAGGCATGGCGTGATGGGCAGGTGGAGGTGTGGTAAGTATTGGCCACTCAGGTGGAGACGTGGCGGGCAGAGACATTTTGTATAGAATCAATCTTTTGTCTTCTAAGCCGCGGTTTTTAACGTGCACTGTGGTCTTAAAGGATGCTTCAGGAACCCCTCAAAGGTTTCTGCATCTGGTGGGAACCTTCAAGTGACTGTAAAGGTTCAGGTGTTTTTCTTCTACTTTCCTGCTCTGTGTAATGATCTTGCACAGAGCAGCCCTGATCCTTTTCTTTTCCAGTCCCCCCGCTGGCGCTCCTGGCAACTCCCCCTACTGAGTGCCCCCTGAGCAAGCTGCTTGCTCTGGGGGTACTCATGTGCTCACTTCCAAGCTTCCTCTGTCTGAGACAGAGCGCAGCTCAGCCCCGCCCCCTTCCTCACTTGCTGTGATTGATGGCAGCTGGCCACCTTTGACACGATGGGTCCCAGATCAGTGACATTTTCAGTGCTGTTAGAGCTCGGCAGGGCGGCCATGGCAGAGGAGTTGGAGGCCAGTAGGTAGGCTGGTGGAGGTTGTAGTACAGCAGCGTGACCTTTCCAGCTCCATGTAGCGTGCCGTCTCCAGCAGCTCCCCAGAAGAATGCGATCCAGGCCATGCGACCATGCAGAGAACACCTGGCATGGGATAGGTGTCGGGACAGCCCACGCAAAAGCAACGCTCAGATCACTTTTACAAGAGTCGACTGTCAACCTTGCTGCTTGCTCGCAGCGGGGGGGCTGAACGTTAAAAAAAAAAAAACAAAAAAAAAAAAAAAATTTAAATTCTTGCCCGGAACTGCATGTCCCGGTATTGGGCGATAGGAATTGAACATCCTTTGGTCTGTAGGCAGCTCTTGGTCACCTCTGGTCAGTATCAGTAATGAGGACCAATCGTGTTTGTTGCCAAAGCAGAGTATTTTTGTTGTTGGGTACATAATGGATTCCACTTGGCAGAATGGTGTTTTGCCTACAGATACACAAGTTGACATATAAAACAAAGTAAGTGCAGCGCCGGAAATCAAGTAACAGACTGGATATATGATAAATCAATGGATATAAAAGCAAAGTCACATGTCACTAATGTTGACTAATAATGACTAAAATATGAATAAAATGAATGTCCCAAGGTATGAAAAGCATGCGTGAGGGTCTAATGTGATCCTAGAATAGGTGCGTGGAGGACTTGATCCGAAGTGGTAGATGAAATAAAATAAATGAGTAAATTGCGCACTCACCAGAAGTGCGTAAAAAATACACAAGTTGCATCAGGACTCCAAAATGTAGAGGAAATTGTCATGGCAAGAATCCTACAGGTTTGTCATCCACATGTGGACATGTGCAGTGATGTCAGTAATGCATTTTCACCCCCTTCCTGTCCAGGCTAATTTTCAGCTTTCAGCGCTATCACACTTTGACAATTGCACGGTCATGCAACACACTACCCATATGAATTTTTTTGAGACAGATAAAGATTTATTTTGGTGGTATTTATTCACCACTGGAATTTTTTTTTTTTTTTTTTTTTTTTTTTTTGCTATGTAAATGAAAGTCCTAAAATTTTGAAAAAAAAAAAGTGTTTTTCTTATAAAATTTTGCAAATAAATAGTATTTCATCATAAATCTTGAACAATATGTAATAAAGTCATGCGCTAAATAAAATATATATCCATATTATTAAATGTCCATAATCACTCTGTGCAACATAATTTAGTGTCCACAATTAATTCGTGCAAATCAAAAAAAAAAACAACATTTTTAAATGTATAGCACTCCTTCATAAATTCATATATCAACATAATTAAATATCCATAATTTGTGAAAAATAAAAAAAAATATATCTCCTCTGTGAACTCATAAATTTGTGAATAATCCACCACCAGATAAATTAGATGGATTCACCAGAGCTATATGCTGCTCAGTTTATAGAACAGCAATAGCGCTTTTGCTCTGGGAGCGATGGGTAAACCGTATCCAGGTGATAATTGTAGTAACTTTTCAGTCACATCCAGGTAAATACTAATGGTAATCCGATTTCAAAAATAATCAATACTCTACAGCCACAGATCTCAAGATGTATCTCTTCATTAACTCCGTATCTCCATATATGAATAAGAAAGGTGTCCAGACAGACACCAGCTTCAACAGCAATATACAGCACTGAACTGATAATGATCTCCGTTTCCCGCGGATCACCTCCGACACACTGCCAAAAGAGCGTCCTGACGTCAGCATCAAGTAGGCCACGCCCAACGCGTTTCGTCATCAAGGGGCGACGTCATCAAGGGGCCCTGTGATGATCGGTGTTCCGGAGGACACAGCGGGCAACGGATCGGGGTGCTGCACGCTCCCAGGGAGCGCGCACAAGCAGAGGGCGGGGAGGCTGTTTATAAATGGCCACCCGACCCTGCACTGCCACCGTCCAGCCGTTTATATACATGGGCCAGACGGGAAGTGGTTAAGATCCATCAGAACCATGTGTTGCTGGAAAGTTGGAATCTGTGGACTTCGTTT